TACATAGCATTTGGGTATTATAAATAGTCTAGAGATAATTTAAAGTATACAAGATGTGTACCAGTTATATGTAAATATTACTCCTTAATATAAAGAGACTTTAAGCATCTGCCTAAAACTAATCTCCTAAAATACTAAGGGCTCTATCATAGCCTGGTTCTTAATAAAATTCTTTCTTATGGAAACTAACAATTTGTTTTTCTTCAAAACATTTCTAACTTACATAGACTACAAAACAAACTAAATAACTATTTGACATGTAGCTTAGTGTGGTATGTCCATAGCAGGTTCCTCAGTTTCTCGTCTAGAATATAGCAACAGTACATCTATCAATAATTCCTTTACAATATGGAAACTCTGATTAGTGGAACAGGAAAGTTTTAAGTGAAAACAAATGCACTATACTATTTCTTATATGTCTAACCATGCCTTCAGCAAGTAGCTTCCTAAGAAATAAGACCAATAATCTTTTTTATTTAACAATTGCATTTATTAAAAAACATAATACATTTCTATAACTCTCTTAAAAACCAATCCAAACCCCTAATCACATCTGGTTTACCCTTAATCATGGTCAGTTGGTTTAGACCAATTTCTAAGGGCCACCTTTGCACAAATTCCCTGTAGAATAGTGTGGCATGGTTATCTCAATATCTACTCAAAATTTCTGCAAGTGTACCCTACTATACTATAGATGCTTTAAGGCTTTTAAAAACCATATTTCCCAGACTGTCTTGTAGCTAAAATTCTGGATATGATTTCGATTTTACTATTATGTTGTACTTGTGTGAAGCTTCAATTTAGAACTGAGGTATTTTGGAAGAGAGAAAAAGTATGAGGCTCGAAGTTGCCTCTGTGGATAACAAGGTCACAATCAGTTCTTTTCTCTCATATGGTGTCCACAGAGGTACAGGAAAATCCCACTTGGTCCCACTCACATCCTATCAATTGGTCCTGACCTAGCCTGAGATCTCATCTAGGGTTGTTGACTGTTTTCTCCAGGTGAGCCTCTCCACATGTCTTCTTAGACTTCCTCACAGCATGGTGCCCTCAGACATCCTACTAGGCAGCCTGTTTCCAAAAGCACAAAGGCAGAAACTACCAGCCCTCAAAAGGCTTCGATTTAGACCTAGTGTTACTTCCATTGTATTATTTTAAGTGACCACAAGTCAAGGAAAGGAACATTTATGAGGGGATGATTATATGGTAGCATGACGACTTTTCCTCTTGAGCTTAACCAGCAACTATAATATTTATGTTAGAGAACTGGAAGTCTTGGTCACTCCATCAAGCACTATAGCAAATTGTGAATGCTTCCATCTTCCACGCTGTGCTATATGTGTTGCTCTAGTGTTGTGTGTATAGTGCTGGCTCATTATCTTCCTTTCAGGTCTCTAGGTTTCCTTTAATTTAAGGATCCTCTGCCTTTGCGTCCTACAGAATGGGATGGGATCAGGCGATGAAGACAACCAACTTGCTGTAAGTAAATAGATATCCCTCAGTACAATTAGAGATTTTTGTTAGAGGAAAATGCAAAGTTTTCCTTAAAGAGCAGATTCTCAGGCAAGCAGAGCTTCATTTTTGTAGATGTAGAGAAGGTGTCTTTATATCTAAGTGATTGGGATGAAGAACTTCAAAATGAGAACTTTGAAGCATAGTCCAAAGATATCACTTACCATAAAGTTAACCTTTAGCTCACAGAGAGGAAAGAAAGTGACTGAGAAATGAAAGTTACTTTTATGGCTCCTCTACTCTATTGATACACAGGGAGATCATTGAGAATAGCAGTCTCCCCTTCTCTACTCCACCACAATGTGATCTGAGTTGCTTTCTGGGTCATGATTATGTCCTTGGAGGATTTTCCTTCCTGAAAGGAAAAATATGAAGCTGAAATGGTCTCCCGTTAGCTTCTAAAAAGTTAGAAAGAGTAAGTTTCCAGGGGAATTAGCCAGAGATCACAAAATAGAACTCTCTTCATGTTTAAAGGTAAATACCTGAGCTGAGGAAGGATTCCAAACTGTTGAGAGAGCGGGGATGACTATATGTGTGCTGACATTTCTCCACCCTGGACCCCTGCACATGGCATTATCTATGGGACTTCTAGATTCTTAGGAGCTGAGCCCACAGGTGGCCACAGGAGCCTTTTCAACTCAACATTCCAAATTAGTATTCCCAAAGGACTAGGGTTGGCCTCCAGGGTAAAATCAATTTGCTATCCGTAGAGAAGAGATTAGATACTGTCTCTCCTTCTTATGAGTGCATGAATAGTTGCCAGACTAGGTGTCTTAATACATATAATTTTCAGAAACACTACCACCAGAGCCCTCTGTACAGAAGGCAATGGAGCCAATGGTGCACACAGCCCTTCTGGGAGCTTTTAAGAGCCAAGGTTGGAGAGGAGAAGTTGAAAGAGAAGTTTCAGGGCACATATACAAAGAGAAGGAATCATTCCTGTTCTCAGTGCAAAACAAAAATTATAACCTAAAACCAGACCCCATAGTTCAGCTATTTAGAGCATGAACTAAGGAGCAAAAGTACCAGGTGAGAGGTGTTTATGACAACACTCTCCACAGACATAAATGGAAATTACTAAAATTATAGGTGGCTTGGCTATTTAGGGGCAATTACCACATTTCTAAATCTGAATGATGCTTGGGCAAGTGGAAGCCTTTGACATTCCAGAACCCTTTCTATATTAGCCACATAATATTAAAGATAGTTTGGGCCTAAATACATAAAGCCAGATCATGTGCTGATATTTGTAGCCCTGAGATTCTTCAGCATGATCACACTCTCTGAGTCTTGGCTACTTGTGAACTTCAACATTAGAAGATTTGTCCTTATGAAGTAGCTGCAGTGTTTTAGACTAGAAACCAAATGTTTATTTGAAGAATTTAGCCTTGCCCACAGTTTACCAAAATAACAAGAAAACTAGACTTTTTTATATCTGGACTACATTTTCTTGCCATCATAGTCTTGTCATGTCAGGAACTTAGGTAAATGCCTTAGAACTTAGGTAATGCCATAGACTTAGGTAAAAAGGCTATATAAGCATGTATTCCTCAAAAAGATTTTAAAAAGGGCAATTCATGGAAAAGTTTGGAAAGATTTTCCCCAAACCCATAACAAACAAGAGGTATATAGAATTCATGTTTTTTAAAACAACCCTAAAATTATGACTACCAACATCTAATTACTCAAATTGCTAAATATTTTAATCACATTCATATATCTTCGTTTCCATTAGAAGCAATGGGAGAATGACAAAACCTACAATTTGATTTCTAAAATTATATGCTGAGCTTACAAAAATAACACTAGCTCAAGTTTATCACCTGTATGTCAACCCCGCTAGCATTTTAAGGTGTTTTGTGAAATTAACCAACCAAGATCGTAAAACATCTAAGAAATGTAGGTGGGAGTGTGAGGAAAGAGGGGGAAGAGGAGAGGGGAGGGGGAGAGGAAGAGGGAGAAGGAGAAGGAAAGGCAGAGGGAGAGAGAAGGGGAGAGAGAGGAAGGAGAAATGAGGAAAATGTGTGGGGGATTAATTGACAATAGCTAAGGCAGAGCAAGAAAAACTCCGGGGTTCAGAGACCAATGTTATAAGGAGAAAGGCAGAAGAGTAATGAGAAATGTAAGAGAAAATAGAGAAAAACTTTCTTTCCTATAATTCCATCTTCCCATTTCATAGCTTCTAGAACAAAAGAATTCAAAGCTAGCATAATACAGTCTCAACATGAACTCCAGATGGTCAAATTAATTTAACAAATCATTAAAAAATCAGTCTTAGGATGAAGAAGTGCTTTCGGAAAATAATCCCAAAGGTAAAATCATACAGAAAACACATATTTTTACTTTTGTATTTTAAAAAATTAGCAAAATATAAAGGCAAGCAACATTTAAATATATACATTCTGCATGCGACAAAAACATCCTACAGTTGATACACAGGGAACACTTGGAAAAAAATAAGTGAAAAAAAGGTTAATACTCAGGATAGAGAAGATAGGCAAATAATAGGAATAGGCAGTTCCCAAAAGAAGAAATATACATTCCAAATGTAAATGGAAAGGGTTCTACACCAGTAGTCCCCAAGAAATAGATATTAATACAGTAAGACCTATATTTTATATTATGAATGACAAGATTATAAAAGATGGGCCGGGATTTAGCTCAGTGGTTCCGCCACCTGCCTCGCAAGTGCAAGGACCCAAGTTCCATCCCCAGTACCAAAAAAAAAATTATCAAAGATGCAGAAAGACAAGCCCACTCAGACATGCTTGTGGGACTGAAGAGTAGGGAGAGCACAATTTGACAACACAGTGTAAGTCTTTTAAAAATATACATAATTTTTGATCTAATGATTCCATACCTATGAACTTATCCCAAGGATGATATGAAAAATATTTATATTTTGCTAGTAAGATTAGATCACAATTACATTTTTTAATGTCAAGGAAGAGTCACTTAGGCACAATCCAAATACTCAATTATAAGGAATTAGTTATAGAAAATTCTGAACTCCAATATAATGAAATATTAAAAAGCTGTTAAAATGAATTTGCTATACTTAATGACATAGAAGGAGTATTAGGCAGAAAAAATATAAATGAGTTGAGGTTAATAAGGTATTAAGAAGTATGTCTGACCCATAATGTAAATATTTATGTATTTAAGTAAACATTTACATAAAAGTGTCAGCTACTTTATTCAGTATGATTCTATTTTTGACAGAAGAATGTGTATATAAGTACAGAAATAAAATAAAATCTATGCATATCAAAATAACTAGTTACTTTGGAAATACAAGATTTTTTTTTCTTTTGTCTGTATTTTCAGAAATTGCCACAAACAGCATTTATCAATATGACCCCAAATATATTACTATACATTTAAATATAAGTATCATATGCTATTTATCTTTGGAGATAAATAGAAACATTACATATTACCTAATAAGTAATTAGATAGGTAGATACAGATATAGATGTAGATAGAGATATGTTGAGAGACAGAGCTCCATAGCAAAAGAACTGAAAGAATAAACAAAATATTGACAAACTTAAGTAGCTATATCTGGGTGCTGTGATAATGAGTGAATTTTTTCAAGAGATTGTGTTTGTGTCTATTTGTGTATTTTCTCTATTTTCCAAAATACATCTCACACAAATGTTTTTCACTCATAATAAAACTGGTCTCAGTCAGTTTTCTGTTGCTATAATTGAATACCACAATGTTGCTAATTTAGAGGTGTATTTGGCTCATGGTTCTGGAGGCTGGAAGTCCAAGAACATGATGCTAGCCTCTGCTCAGCATCTGGCAGGACCCTCCCTGCTGCACTGTACCATGGTAGAGGGCATCACATGGGGAGACAGAGCAAGCAATCCAGAGAGAGTTTGCTTTTTTAGCAGAGCTACTCCCTAGAATATTTATTAATCCATTAATTTGTGAGAAGATTAATTCATTCACAAAGGCAGGGCCCTCAGGACCAAATCACCTTCCAAAGACCCCACTTTCAAATATCATTAATATATGACTTTGGGGGTTAAGTTTCCAACAAATGGCTTCTAGGGATACATTCAAACCATGGAAACAATTATTTAAAAAAACTTTGAGACAACATAGGGCACCCTAGAATTAAGCACTGTTCCTTTTTCCATCTATCTAGCATCAGTCCCTATTTTCACCTGAGAGGCAGAGTCGCCAAGTCCTATTGACTCGTTATAGTGCGTTGTGCATGTCTCCTTTGTTTCTGCTGCTGCCTCTCTGAACTTAAACTTGCATTGCTCAGCCACTGCTTTCAGAAAGACATTTCCCTGATCAGAAACACCCACCAGCTCCTAAAGCCCCTGAACCTGGATTTGAAAGTCACCCACTCCCTTTCTCCATCAGGCATTTATTTCTTCATCTATTCCTTACCCTATAAATCACAACCAAAGTGACCTACTTGCCATTGTTCCAAATGTGCTCTGTATTTTCCTACCTTTTTCCCCATAACTACCCCTAGTACCACATACTCAGAAGTCTGTCCCCCTTTCTCTGTGTATCCTTTAAGGAAGAGCTCAAAATCCACCATTATGTGTATTAGTCAGCCTCCCATCACTGTAACAAAATACCTGAGATTATTAACTTATAAAGATAAAAGGTTCATTTTGGCTCACAGTTTTGGAGGTTCCAGCCCAAGATTGTCAGACTCATTGCTTTGGACCTGAGATAGGGATGTCAGGGGGTAATAGTGAAGAGAATATGGCAAAGTAAACTGCTTATGTCATGGCCAGGAAGCAGAAAAGAGAAGAAAGAAGAGGCTAGGGTCCCAAAATAATCATCATGGGCATGGGCCCAATCACCTAACTCAGTAGGCTCTATCTCCTAAAGGTCTCACTACCTCCCCAGTAACCGTGGGGACCAGGCCTTTAACACACAGGCCTTTGTGATTCCAGACCCAATTGTATTAGGGATAATAGCCTTCTTTTCCAGACCATTCATGTGACACATAGAATATAAGAATCATACAAGTTATCTTGTTTGCCTTCTGTTTTAGATTGGTTCTATGTCTTTAAATCCTTCCTGTTACACTGAAGCCTAGAAGATAGCAGAGAATTAAGGTTTAGACAAACAAAATTCTGTCAAAGACAAGAGATTGGTATATGTCTATTGATAAAATCCTTTAATATGTAAATGTATTAGCACTGAGTTAAATGCTGAAACAGTGCCTGGTTTCCCCTTACTTAGGAGCACCAAAACCCCTTCCAATGGGGTCTCTTAACAGAAGCCAACCAATCGCAGGGTGTTGGGGAAGCTCTTCCGTATCCCCATGCATTTTTCCTGGTCGATGTACAGGGAATTGGCTTTGACAGCCAGGTCATGCTCCAGGGTGGCTTTGGTGTGCACCAGAGACTGCAGGGTGTCCTCTGCATCCCTCAGGCGCTGCTGCAAGGTCTGTATGATGTCATCAACCTCGTAGACCTCATTAACAAGGCTGCAGGAGAGAATAAGCAAGGTTAGGTCGGCAGATATCACACTCCTGTAGTTTGTTTTTAGCTGAATTAAGGGCATGTGCAGTTACTGAATTCCTATTGGAGAAGCAGCTGCTGTGCAGGGTGACATGGAACCCCCAGCTACACATGGGTTCCACCACTATTAGAACTACTTTATACCAGGAAGGAAGCAGTATTTGTGCATGATCCTAGTATGCCAGGGCCACTTGTATTTACTACACCCCACTATACATAATAAAAATGCAAACTAAGCTTATTCTTGGGGCACTTAAGGGAAAGAATAGGAATAAGCTATGAAAAGACTAATAATAATAATAATAATAATAATAACAGAAACTCATTTATTACTTTTCCATGTATATACTATTCTAAGTATTTTTACATGATCAATTTAACCTTCATAACAACAATAGAAGTAAATACTATGATTATCTCCATTTTACAAAGGAGGAAGCTGAGGTGCCAGGAATTTAGGTAACTCTCTTTAAGGTTTTTCATGGAACTACCTATCAGCTACTTTTAATTACTGCTCCTCTGAGTCTGGTCAGTTGAAAACAAAATGCCAAGTACAGTCAACCCTTCATTTTTACACTTCTGCATCCCTTGGATTCAACCAATCCTAGGTAAAAAAATATTTGGGGAGAAAAACTGGATCTGTACTGAACATATTATAGTCTTTCCCCCTGTCATTATTCCCCAAACAATACATTATAAAAACTGTTTGCATTGTGTTAGATATTATAAGTCATCTAGAGATGATTTAAAGCATATGAGAGGATATATGTACTAAAAGTACTAAGCCATCTTATAAGAGACTTGAGCATCTGTGGGTTCTGGTATACAAGAGAATATCAGGATATGATCACCCATGTATACTGAGGAACAGGTATACCTCAGATTTTAACCAGTAACGTGAAGCTAAAATTGTCTTTATTTAGAGAGTTTACTCATCAGCAGATTATGGGGATGTGAAATTCATTAAAATATACAGAAATATAAAGACAATAATGGCCACAAATAGATGGGGCTGTAGACATCTCCAGAGACAGAAAAAGATTTCATAATGATAAGAATCATCCATATTAAAATCATTATGCAAAAGCAACTGTATAGCTTCACAGAACTTGGCATCTGGAACAGGAATGTCAGAGGTCATCAAGCCCAGCTTCCTTATTTTACAGATAAGGAAATTGAGTCCAGAGGGTTTGATGAACTGCCTTCTCCACAGGCAGACAACCCAGTTGTGCTTATAAGCTATCCCAAGTTCTCCAGGAAGCAGATAAGGAAACAGGGAGCCTCATGGTTACACTAAGGAATGGATTCTATTTCCTACCCCATCCTCTTGGTTCCTCCTCATAAAAGGGCAGAAGCAGAGACCCAGGAAATTGGTCTTGGGACCCTGGATTCTTCTGGGGGTGATCCAGGAACAATACCCAAAATGCCCTGCTGAATTTGAATTGCAGATAAATGAGTAATTTTTTAGTACAAATATTTTTTAGATTGTTGTAAAATATACATAACATAAAATTTACCATGTTAACCTTTTAAATATACAACTCAGAGCCACTGAAGTACATTCATGTTGTTCTGCAGCCCTCACTACCATCCATGCAGAGAACTCCTTTCATCTTGCAAAACTAAAACTCAGTTCTTATTCTTCCATTCCCAAGACCCTGGCTGGCAATCACCATTCTACTTTCAGTCTTTCTAAACTTAACTACTCAGGTTACTTCAGATAAATGGAATAATACAGTAGTTATAGTTTAGCAATTGGCTTATTTCACTGAGCTTAATGTTCTCAGGGTTCATCTATGTTGTAGCACACAGCTCTCTTTTTATTGCTGAATAATATTCAGCATAAATATTTTTACTTAGCATTAAGTGTTTTTATTATAAGTATATGCAGCATATATTTATGCAAAACAATATTCATTGTTTATTTAAAATTCAAATTTTAAATTAATTTGCAAAATCTGGCAACTCTAGCACAAGGGCCAGTTTAGTGTAAGGCACAAAGTGGGCCCTCACAGAATATCAAGATAGTATGAAGAACAAGAATTCTTCTACTCAAAGCTCCTTACACCCCACTTTTCCTAACAGACTCCTTGTGAACATTTCCAAGGACATGCATCAAACAAGGGCTGTTGTCTAGGTTGGGAGGGAACAGGAGGGGGCAGAAAAGGGATTCATTTTGTACTCCATATGGATGTGTTACTTGAATTTGTTTTATAACTGGGTGTATCCCTATCTTATTTGTGAAATTAAACAAAAACTACTTTAGAAACAATAAGATACAAAGTTTGACATAAAATTATAGAGGAATAATTTCTTCCTGTTTTATTGGCAATAGTATGAGAGAAGAGGAATTAGCATTAATGTCTAATGATAACGGACACCATAGCCAGATGATAAAATAATGCACAAGCAATATTTCCAAAGAAGTATGTATACTGGCTCTGGGAAAAGAAATTTATAATATAATTCCTGTCAAAAAGTCAGGCTTTAAGACTCTCTATGCAGCACAATCACTTTTTGTTAACATTCCTGGCAGCAAATACATCAAAATGCTGTCATTTGAGTTACCCCTGGATGGCATAGGGAGTACAAGTTCTTTTTTTATTTCGTTTTCTGTAGTCTGGATTTTCCACCATGATCATGAACACACACTACTGTTAAGACAAGAAAGAAAATGAATAAATTTTTTAAAAGTACACACATAGGCTACTTTCCCAATCTGTGCATTTTGCACTTATAGATTCAACCAAACGTGGGTGGAAAATATTTTTTAATGGCTTCGATCCTTAACATGTAGACTTTTCTTTCTTGTCACTATTCCCTAAACAATATAACAACTACTTATATGAAATTTACATTATATTTGGCAGTATAAGTAAATCTAGAGATAATTTAATATATACAGGAGGATGCGTACTGGTTTTAGACAAATTCTAAGCCATTTTATATAAGGGGCTTGAGCATCTGCCAATTTTGATATCTGTAGGTGGCTGAGGACCTGGAACTAATATCCCAAGATATGGAGGGAGCATAATTTGGAAGCATTTAACTTTTTCTGACCTGTTAGTGGGGTTATATGAAGAGGTTTACACTGCAGTAAACATCTCCATATTTCACTGAGAGAACATAGCATTCAAGTGGAGACAGTTTGGAAATTTACCAAGGCCACCCAACTTTCCAGACTCACCCTCTTACACACACACAAACACACACACTGGTCAGCTGGCCAAGGGCTCTAGGCTTGCAGAAGTGGTATATGAAGCAGATGCCACCTCAGTGCTCCAAGTCCCTCATATGTGCCCCATCTTGGGCAATGCTGACATCATCCTTGTGGATGCTGAAACCAGAAACCTCTGATCATCATTGACCTCACCCCCTTCTTCATGTCCCCACATCCCATCCCTCAGTTATTCCCATCTTCCAAAGGGCTTCCCATGCCTGCTACATCCCTGCCCCCACCTACCTCCACAAAGCTGTCCTTGAGGATATGTGTTTGCACCCTCTCTGGCCTCAAAGCCTTCTTTGGTGTCCACTCAGTCAGGATCACTCTAGCCTGCTCTTCATGCCCCCAATGAATGCCACCCTCCAGTCCCAGGTGAAAGGACACCTGGAACTAGGCTGATGCTGACACTGGGCATTCCAAGAAGACAACCCTTTTGTGGCCCTCAGGCACTTGTGATATTCTTCTTAGTTCATCTGCCCTGCAGACCATCAACAAGACTGAGTAGAAATCCTCCTGAGGTTCCCTGCTCACCACTGTGTCCCATAGTCCCTCTGGCAGTTCTAAAGTTTTCAAAAAATATTTGTTATAGGAAGTCCAATTTCTGTGTTTTAGGTGAAGGAGGTCATCTTGGGTAGTAGGAGCTTCCCAAAACTTACGTCTACTGGGTCTACCAAGAGAAAGACTCAGACCCAAGGGAATGAAGAACTTACTTCTGATCCTCCCACATCAAGCCTGAGCAAGGAACGGAACCTACATAGGGCTCCATACTGCTCCTAGAAAAAATAACATGCTGTGGAAACATCCACACTGTACATCTTTTTCCATCTGATGAATTGTACTGTTTTCTCCCTTCTGATGGGAGAGGGAAGGAATTAAAACTTAAGTGCATAAGTTTCAATGGGTCTTGGGATGATAAACACAAAATCTGAGAACTCATCTGAAAGTATACTTTTTGTTGTTGTTTAGAGAAATGTGGATTAAAGAAAGCAATTTTTAAAAGACTCCAGGATATAAAATATCAGTAGAAAAGAACTGGATCTTCAGGGAGGCTGCTACAAATGGCTGGGAATGGAATTTATGAGTGTGGGTTGTTTATTGTCTTACAGGGCCTGACTCTAGTCTCCTATCTCTCCTTAGCTTCAAAAGGAACCCTGAGCCCAAACATAGGAAGTGAAGCAGGGTGATATATTACCCTCACTTCTCACAGCCAAATACTAGTCCAGTGGAAAATTTACCAGTGAGAGATCATTTCAAGATGTATACATTAAAATATTCATGTTTAGAATAGAGAATTTAAGGTACATAGAAGGCAGGCAAAGTCCTTATTTCCCTATTGCTGTATGAGCACAGTTAGAGGTCTACCACCAGCCCCCTCGATCTTAGTTAGCTTTTAGAAACACATTTGTCATCATCTTCAAGGCCGTATTTTATGTCCAGTTTTCTTGTTCTTGGCTCACTGCAGGGAACTATTCTGCTGAAGCTACTCAATTTTTTAAAAAAAATCTTAGAGTCCTGAAACTAATATTGCATTCAAACACAAGTTAAGTTGCAATAGCCTTTTTTTGTGTGTATCAAGATTATTTAAGTAAAGCAGAGCCTGGTCTGGCATACCACCAACGATGCCAAGAAGGTTTAGAATCACTTTTTTTTTTTTTTGGCACTGGGGATCAAACTCAGGTCCTTGTGCTTGCGCAGCAGGTGGTGAAACCACTGAGCTAAATCCCCGGCCCTAGAATCACTTTTGAAAGAACCCATTTAGAATATTTTAAATGAAAATAAAAGTTTTGAAATGAAAGCAGAAATTTTTCTCTGATCCCACTCTCTTGAGTTTATGATCTTTGCTTTTTAAAATCTAGACAGCCAAGGGGTTGCTTTCAAAATGATTGACTTAAGAAGGAAAATAATATCCCCTGATAATAATCCTAAATATTTTTGGCAAGGGTTTCCTAATAAGAAATCTTAACAGAAACAAAAGTAGGTTTTGTCCTAAAGTCAATGAAGGAGCAGAGGAAATAGACATACTAGGAAGTTGACAGGAAGTTAAAGAAAAAGCAAATTCTGTTTAGCTAGGAAAGGTTGGGGGGTAAAATCATTCACCCTCAAAGATGTGAATGTCTCATTGTTTTATAACTCCAAGGTCATATTGTACCACTACTCAAAACCCTTTTTGAGCTGGGTTAAAGCTCAGTAGTAAAGTACTTGCTCAGAATGCACAGGCTCTGGGTTCAATCCTCAGCAATGAAGAAAGGGAGGGAGGGAGGGAGAGAGAGGAGAGAGAGAGAGAGAGAGAGAGAGAGAGAGAGAGAGAGAGAGAGAGAAGCAACCCTGTGCTTGTCTAATGGCAGTCTGAAGAATTTTGTTGTTTCTATCTCTACTTTTAATGACTCTAGAGAAATGTTTTAGGAAATGAAACTTCAACTCAGCTTCTAATTGTATTTGCATAAAGTATAATTCATGTTCTAATTCTAACTGACCAATGGATATGCTCTCATTAGCAGGTTCTTCTGAGGCACAGAAACACCTCAAGCTGGCTATGTAGAGCCTGTCTTGTCTCTGGAGTGGAGGGCAGCTTATTTCAAGAAATGGGCTATGTAGGAAGAGAGGTCCTATGGAATCTACTGTGAGAAACTCAATAAAGACTCAATCCAAAAATGGGCATCTGAAATGAACAGACATTTCTCAGACAAAGAAGTAGAAATAGCAAATAAATACATGAAAAAATGTTCAACATCACTGGTTATTCGAGAGATGCAAATGAAAACAACACTGAGATTCCACTTCACTCCAGAAAGAATGGCTGCTGTCATGAAATCAACCAATAACCAATGCTGGTGGGGCTATGGGGAAAGAGGAACCCTGCTCCACTGCTGGTGGGAGTGTAGACTGGTGCAACCACTGTGGAGATCAGTATGGGGATACCTCAAAGAACTAGGAGTGGAAGTCCCATTTGACCCTGCTATTCCACTGCTGGGGATCTTCCCCAAAGAATTAAAAGAATCATACCACAGTGATATATGTGTGCCCATGTTCATAGCAGCACAGTTTGTAATAGCTAAAACTTGGAAACAGCCCAAATGCCCCTCAACTGGAGACTGGATAAAGAAAATGTGGGTTTTTTTATAAAATGGAGTACTACTCAGCCATCAAAAATGAGAAATTAGAGACATTTATAGCTAAGTGGGTGCACATTGAGGCCATACTCTTAAGTGAAATAAATAGGACACACATGTATAAATACTGAATAGTTTCTCTAGTGTGAGAAACTGAAAGTGTAAATAAGGACTAAATGTATAATAGGTCATGTGAAATAGGAAGAAAAGGGGCAAAGGGGAAGGAAGTGGGGGGGCTAGGGGAAAGGATAGAAGGGAATGGGATTAATATGAGAAAATGGAAAACTAGGAACAAAATCTTTGTAAATAGGGAGGAATGGAGGGGTTGAAGGGAGGGCTGGGCAAGGGTGAAAAATAAGAACCAAGAGAGACTATGTAAAGGTGCAAATTTCCAGTGATGAATGTCATTATATTGTATACCTAAAATGTACCAATGATTAGAATGAATAATCGATAATGTAAAATAGGAAGAAAAGGTGCAAACGGGTAGGGGTAGTGGGAGCGACAGGGAAAGGAAAGAAGGGAAAGGAAAAATGATGAGAAATGGAAAAAAATGGAAATAAAGTCTTTGTAAATAGGGAAGGGTGGAGGGCGTGAAGGGAGGGCTAGGAATGGGGAAAAAATAAGAACCAAGATGCATTATGTAAAGGTACAATTCCCAATGAGAAATGTAATTGTGTTGTATACCTACAATGTACCAATAAAAGAATTTAATTTAAAAAAAAAAAAAACAACTCCTGTTATTAACTTCCCCTCCACACTGGGATGAGAAGGCTCCTGCATGACCTGTAGTCAGAAAGCACCTTCATACTAAATCAGAAATGTAGTCAGGCTGCAGGGGGTGGGGGATGTCACACTAGCATGAGCTCAACCTCCCCTCCTCCCAGCCTTACCGTAATTGCGCTGTGTCTCTGCATAGCTCTATGTTAGGTCTCCTTGTGCGCTCATCCAGCCTAGTCTGAGCCACCTTCAGGAAGGCAGACTTGTCCTTGATGGCCTTCTTGATGGATTCTATGGTCATTTCTGTCTGGAATATTTCCTGTAGAGTCTGTAACAAAGAGAAGCGATTGCCTGAAGCTTGATAGTGTTCCTTACACAACCTGCTCCCTGCCTGCGGCCTGTCCACTTGCCTCACACTCTGGGAGGAGGAGGTAGCTTCACTGGGAACCTAGCTCCTTCCTAGTCCTGACCCCAGGGAATCTGAAGGGCTACACTGGCTTTTGCTAGAATCTGCTCTGTAGAACCCACTGTGGCTCTCTTCTCGACTCCTGAGTCCAGTGACATGCTGGTGACTTGAAAGCAGCCAGGGTTGGAGTAGACACACCACAGAAATTGACAACTGCTAAAATGCAGGGTTTCTGGCCCCCCACCAACCCCAACAGCAGTAGTTAATTACTGAAGAGTACACATCTGTGTGTAATGGAGGAAAGTGAGGCCATGAGGTTTGGGTGGCCCTGATCTCTTTCCTCACATCAAGATGGCCTTGCCTCTCTTCTAGACAACGAAAGAGAGATGTTGTCCTCCTGGGGAAAGATTTACCTTGAAGCTCATCAAGTTTAGGCTTCAGTATTCCTCATTTACAAGGGAGGGTTACTGGCAGATTTATATTCCTGATATATTCTTTGTTTCATAAAGAGGCTCCTCCAAATTACATAAACCTAGATCTCTTCCCAATTGCTCCTCCTCCTCCTCCTCCTCCTCCTCCTCCAATTCTCTGAACACTTGCCCTTCTCCTAGGACCTTGGCCTCTGCTCTCCCATAGTTCCACATCCTCCCATCACTGTCCCTCCCACTTGACTCCTTACCACCAGCCTAGAGACTCACCCAAGTATCACCATTTTTTTAAACCTCAAGTGTTTACCATCAATCCTCCTGTCCAATCCCAGCTGGATCCTCTCTAAACTCTCTACCTATGCCCACTGACAAATGTAGCATGGCCTGTGCCCATTCCCTCTAATTCTTGCCTATCTAATCTCCTGGAGACCCCTGCACTCAGCCTCTGGTGCTCATTGCTCTTATGAAACTGCCTACCAGTCTATACTGAGGACCCTTGGATACCACGCTCTCCGCAAAACCCTGCCTTATGTGTTTTCTATGGCAAAATGATGTCCCAACTCCTGGCCTTTCTAACTGCTTCTCCACCTCCAGGGCAAAGTTCTGTCCTGGGAAACTTCTCTACTGCATTCTCTCTCGCCTACATAATCACACACATTTAGCACTTGTATAATCCAGGAACTTCTAAATTTGTCACTTAAATTTTGGCCTCCCTCACAAGCTTTTATCAACCTGCTAGAAGCTATTAAACTCATCCCATCACTAAGACCTTCTTCAGATGCTACCTACTCTGTGAAGTCATGTCTCCATCACCAGCAGAGACATGGCTCTTTCTGCTAAGCAGTCTTAACATTTTGTCTGTAATTCCAAGTGGTTCTCATTCACAGTCTTGATGGGCTTACCGTTTTCTGCATGCATTTTTTGCTTCACTTTAACACATGACTCAGCAAGATCAGTGTGACATTCATGTGTGCATACCCAAAATGTCTAGCACAGTAACTTAAATGCACTTATAGGCTGAATTGTGTATCCCTTCCATCAAAATTCCTATGTTGAGTCCCCAGTACCTCAGTACACATTTGGACAGAGTTTCTGTAGGTATTAAGTTAAAGTGAGATCATTAGCATGCATCCCAATCCAATACCAAGTATGTCCTTATAAGCAGAAGGAATTTAGATGCAGATACACACAAAAATAAGATGTAAAGATACAGAGAGAAGACACCACCAAAGGAGAAAGACCTCAGAAGAAACCAATCTTGTAACATATTCAATTCAGACTTCCAAGCTCCAAGACTGTGAGACAAACAATATCTTCTCTTTAAGCCAATTGCTCTGTGATACTTTGTTATAGCAGCCTGAGCAAACCGACACAGTAATAAATAACAATTAGTTGAACAAATTGTGTCATATCTGCCTTCTAAAAGACCTTTAGAATGGCATCTTACAACTCAGTCCATAGCACCTGACCCCATTCACCTTTCCATTGATGTTTTCTACAATTTGATTCCAACCTATCTTCCAAAGCTTCTCTTCTAGGATAAACACCATCTATGCCAGCCACACTAGACTCTTCATAGACTTGAACTCAACTCTGATTCCCTATCTCCAAGGCTTTGTTCAAAGTGCTGTCCCATTTGGAATGTACTTGTCTCCCTCTGATCTCTATAAAGATTTTCTACATTTGCTATTGGACAATTCCAACCTGTAATTTCTTGTTATTAATTGCTTGTGAACTTTCCATATGTTTGCATCTCTTCACAAATATAAGCTTCTTGGAAACAAAAGTTGTATTTTATGCTTCTCTTTGCCCTTGGCAAAGTAGTACATCATCTGGCTCGAATAATATTTATTGCATAATGAGACAGAAAGTAAATTGCTATAGCCTGAGAGAACATGGCACCCTCAATGGGCAATGCCACCCTAGAGTAAAAAGAATGTCTGAGCAAGTTTCTAAATGGCAAACTACATGCAGCACAATCCACAGAAATTGTTAAAAGCCACAGGACTGATGCTAAGGAAGAGCTCCTTGTTTATCTTGAAATATATGACATCTGCATGAATCCTTCATTTTATTGTCATTGTAAAACCCTTACACTAACAGCAATCATAAATTTACAATGGCAAAAAATACTTTGAAATACTAACAGTTTCCCATATTTGGTTCTTCCAGAAAAAAGGTCTGAAATCATTGAACAGAAAACATTCCTACCATATGTTCTAATAATAAATTTTCTTCCTAGTTATATACAGTGATTCATTAAACTTTAATAGTAATATTTTTGTTTCCATTAAATACTAAGAACCTTTCACTACATAATGCACTCTTTATGTTCCAAATACCAGTGAATCCCAATTTCATTTTGACACCTAGCTACCTGGCTGAAATAAATGGTGTACTTTGTGCTGTTTTTAAGTTTTCTTACTCTGTGTAGCTAGGAGGTCATGTGCCTTACAGCATCTTTCTGGGAGTGGTGAGAGATTTGTGGTCTCAGAGCACCCTGCCTTGCCCATGCTACCGCCTTAGCTTGTGGTTGATTTACCTTTGATAAGTGAATCTGAATCTTATTCTTAGCATCTGCAGTTTCAGCAATGCGATTGGTGAAAGCCAAGTTCACTTTGTTAAATTGATTCCACATCTCATTGGCAGTCACAACCAGAAGGTTTTCAATCTCATCCCTTAGCTTGGCAGAGGCTGCTCTTACACTTTGGGAGCGGAGAACGTTGTCATCTGTAAATTTGGCCCAGGACTCAGGCACTGAGACCCTGAAAAGGGGAGAGATATCAGACAGTGGTGACAATGATGCAGCAGTTTTAGATGGTGTCTGCAGACAGCCATTTATCCTGTGAAAGAGAAACTTCCAAACCACTGATCCCAGTCTCCTTGCATAAAATATAAACATCAGAGCAAAGCTCATGTTAAGTTTTTCTTAAATGTTCCTTATTTTACGTCCAACCATGTTTCTACAAATCCAAAGCATAAATACCTCTTCTGCTATTTCAGAGACAAAAAATGATAGATAAGGGTATAGGTTTGTAGGTTCATTACAAATGTATCAGACCAACCCAAGAAGCATATGAAAAAATGTTCAGCCTCAGGACCAATCAAAGATTTACTAATGAAAACAGCAGAATACTAAGACTCCTTTATCAGAATAGCAAGAAGTAAAGAGAACAGTTATTGGCAGCACTGGTGAGCAAGTCAAGAAGGCGCTCATATCCTGCATGTGGGAAGCTGAGTTGGCACAACCTTTCCAGAGGGTAAAAAAGCAACATAAACCAAGAGCCTTTCATTCAAATGTGTACAATCCAGAAATTCCACAAAATGGATGCAGGAAGATATTTATTTCAACAGTACATAAACCAACCCCTGAAAAATTAGAAACAACCTAAAAGTTTAAAAGTGAAGAAAAGGTTAATTATAATACATAGAAAAGTAATTTGTATAGCATACAGGCTCATCTGTATTTATTGATTAACTCAGGGAAGCTTATTTCACAAGTGATGTAACTGATATATTATGAAGTGAAAAGTCTATTTAGCTATAAAGCAGTATGTATGTATGTAATACCATTCTCAATTAAAAAATACAAATCACTATCTATATGTGTGAAGGAGTGCTAGGAGGACTAAAGGCCAATTGTTAATTTGAGGTGTCTATAAATAGTAGGCTTATGGATGGTATTCGTTTTCTTGTTGGTGTAATAAGATGTTAAATAAAACTCTTAATGTTGACTAGAGGTTTTAGCTTAGGCTCCAACGACTCAAAATATCACCATAGGTGAATGCTCTATACCCTGATATTCCGTGAGATGGCTAAGAAATAATGCTGACTTAGAGGAGTCCTTTTAAAGAGTTAAGTGGCAGTAATGTGAGATTTGATCCTAGGCTATGTCCTTATCCTCCAAAAGTGGAAGGAAGATACTTGCCAATCTCAAGCCAAGTAAGAGGCATTTTGTGGGGACCACTGAGAATACAGGCTGTGATTCTCACCTGAAGAATTTAAAAGTCCAAGTTGGTAACTAGCAGTGTGGTCCCACAGGCTAGCAGAAAGAGAGGGCTGCTTTGGGGGCCAGGAGACCCACTGGACATAATCCACTTGGAGGTCACTCTGTAAGTGGCAAGAGTATGGAGAAACATTTTGGGGTAGTGAAAATACTGTTTATCTTGAGTAGCTTGTGGTTACATAGGCATTCAAATTTGTCAAAACCCATCAAAACTTAATCTGGATGTATTTTATTAAATGTAAACTTTACCTTAATTATTTTTCTAAATGAAGCGATTGGAAAAAAACCATGAACTCTGCCCAAGATTGCATCCTGGGCCTGGGAAAGAAACCACTAGCAAGACAACAAACAAGTAGTAGTGTGACAGCCACTTAGCTTTTCCAGCCTGCATTTCAGAGTCCAAGAGTTGGCAACATGTGACTTTTTATGCTTGTCTCTGTACTTCTAGGTTTTCTTCATCATTTAGGTGTTATTTTCATTGGTAAAAAAAGAAACAACAAATATTCTACAGAAGAATACAAGGTGATACAGTTATCAAGGCCTGACTGCAGAACATGTTGATTGAAAATTTGTTCAAAGCCAGGCATAACTCTCACATTCAGACACCTGACTATGCTTTAGACTTCCTGTTTTAACGTGTGCTTTGTTTTGAATACGGTTTGTCCCTTCCAAAAATCATGTTGAAATTCAATTGCCAGTGCAGTGCTGTTAGGAGTTAGGGTCTTTAAGAAATGATTAGGTCATTGAAAATCATTAATAGCTTTCTTGAGAGGGAGGGTTAATTCTCCTGGGAGTGCATTACCCCCAGAGTGGATTGTTATAAAAATGAGTCTGCCCCTCTGTTTTGCACATACTCACTTGCGCTTCCTGTTCTAGTTCAAAAGCCCTTGCCAGAAGCTGCCATCATGCCCTGGACTTCACAGCCTCCAGAACTGTGAGCCAAATAAACCTTTATGCTTCATACATCACCTATTTGGGGGTATTTAATTAGAGCAACAGAAAATGAACTAAGATACTCATAAGCTACATAATTTTGAAAGGACAGAGAATGAATGAATGACGTGAAAATCACAGAAGTGGCCTGTGTGTGGCTTACGTCGCATCAACCCTCTCCACTCCACGGAAGTAGCTGACACCATCAGACGTGTTTCGCAGGTGGTGGCATTTGTCATCGATCCGGTAAGCCGCCTGTTTATCAGTTAGGTCCTTTTCCAGCTCATGCTGGGCAGCTCTGTCGGAGCTATAACATAGAACAGAGAAATTAGGCTTTGTGTTCAGGCAACAATTTCCTACAGGAAAACAGGATTTGCCCTACTATGCCCTCATTCCTGCTTTCCTCATCTCTCCTCCTTCCCACAACATTCAACTTCCCAATCAAATAGAGTATTCTTGGGAGATGGCTGTGTGGGGGTCAAAAGAACCCTACTCCTACCCTGCACACACTTCCCCTTGCAGGAATGGAGTAGGAGTGGGGAGAGGCAACGTAGATAAACAGTGTATATCCTCCTTACACACACCAGCAGTTCCAGACATGACACTGCTTTACAGTAATCTGTCCATCGCTGTGCCACCGTTTCCTCCTTCTTTTTCCATTTCTATATCCTCACCCCTTCTCCTCTATTTTTTTAGTGTAATTCCCCAAGAAATGATGAGACATTTAGAATGAAGCCTCTCTCTATCCATCCTTGACCACAGTTTGTGGACATGCTACAGCTAAGAAGTTCTCCAGGAAATTTAAAACCCAGAGTAGAAACTAACTCTCAGGGTAGGAGCAAGAGATTTTTTTAAAAAAACAAATGATGAGTTGTGGCTCACCCCAGCTCTATGCTCCAGAAGCCTCAAGTCTGGGAAGGAAGAATCCCTGGTGAGATCTGAGTTGCCTGGTCTTCTCTCTGCCTTACTAGGCAAAAGAGACCCACAAATCACTCTCAAATATTCAGGCTCAGGGAAAGGGATGGGTATGGGTGATGGGTGAGCCACATCTCTCATCTGTTCATGGGATGAACCACCTGCTCATTGTACCATCTGTTCATGGGATGGTTTGTTCAGCAAATAATTATTGAGTGCCTACTACTCGCCAGGCATTGTTCTGTGAGCCTGAGATGCATCCATGAATGAAACAGGTATCTGTAAGGGACTTGCCTTCTACTGAAAGAAGGCAGATACCATGAATTGGAGTTTATGTGGATAGAAGAACAATGCAAAAAAAAAAAAAACAGGAAGGAGGAGGCCAAAAGAACAGATTATGATTTTAAATAGGATGGTCAGGCTGGGTCTTCCCAGGTGACACTAGGCAAAGACTTGAAAAGGAAGACTCCGATCATGCAGACTAGACACTGGCAAGAGTAGGATTTTCTACTAGTGAAATTGAAGAACACTGATTTAAAAGGATCATTCTGGTGCCAGGCTGCAAACAGACTTCAGGGGCTCCCTGAGAGACTCACTGGGAGATCATGGCAGTGCCTGGGGTGAGAGATGGTGATGACTTGGACCAAGTGGTATAGATTCCAAATGTGTTTAAAAGATAAATTCAAAAGAACCTCCTATGAGATTGGACTTCAGTTAGAAAAAAGAGCTTAAGTTGAGTCATTGGAATAATGGAATCTGTCAGCCGAGGTGGGGACAGCTGTAGCTGGGAGAGGCAAGAGAAGACACATAAAGTTGATAACACTAAGCTTGAGTGCTCTCTAGACATTCAGGTGGAGATGCCAAGTAGGTTGTTGGAATTTAAGAGAGGGATCTAGGCTAGAAACAAAATGTTAGAAGTTATTAGCATAAGGACAGTCTCTGAAAAAGCAAGACAACTAAACTATCTTAATCATTTCTGTGTTCCCAGCACTTTAAAAAGGCCAAAATATACAGGAGCCATTCAGTAAAGATTATACTGATTTGAAACAACTGATTCTACTTCACGTTCCCTCCAACTTGGCCTGTGCCTTCAGACCAATTACTTGACATTTCAGAGCTAAAATTTCTTATTTGTAAAGTGGAAATGAGGGTAGCAGTAAGTCATCTTCGTTCTGTGAACTCTAAAAACATGCTTGTAAGAAGGGTGAAAAATGAAGGAGCTGCCTACTCTGTCTCCTTCTGTATTGTCTCTCACCTTAGGTTTTTATAAGGAAACTAGGTTGATAAGGCCTTTGTCTTTTGCAGTCTGGCATCAAGATGCCCCATGAGCTTCCTCTCTTGGAAGGAGTAGTTGCCTTCCTCTCTTTGATGAGGAGTAGTTGCCTGGATCTCTTCTGACTTAGCTTCAAAATCTTTTTAAGAAGGCATCTGAAGCAGCTCTCTCCATCAGCCAGTTTTATAGACCAAGATTGGAAGAATCTTAGCAACTGTTGGCCTAGTGAGATTCCATTTTTCAGCTAAGGCTTCACGGTTCCTTCCAAAACAAGTGGAATGGAAAACCCCTCTATCCATCACCATCACTGGACAGAGCACAGCAGAGAGGCCATCCCAGGAAATGAGGTAAACATCTTGCCCACAGTATATTAAAGGAAAGCTAAGCTCTTTAGAGGGTCACCAACAAAGATTCCACATAGGCAGACTTTTGCATAAACTATGATAAAGCTAGCAGGGAGGCAATTTGTAATGAGGATTTCTGGTGTGCAAGAAACTAAGCCACAAAGAGCCAAGGATGCAAAAGATATCAACAGATTTTAGATTACGGAAAAAATGAGAACCAGAAGAAAACAACAGAAATAATTCCTTAAGCCATACTAAACTGTGTTCCTGAAATTCCTAGGGATGAAAAATCAGAAATTAATATAAGAAATGCACTGCCTTAACTGTATAGATAACTAAACCATGTTGGTCATTTTCAGTAATCTTTGGCCCATTCTCACCAATTTCTGAATTAACTCTTCTGATCACATCTCAAGAGAATCTCTACATATAAACTTCACCAGTCTTTCCAGTCAGTCCACTGGGTTGATCCCAATGCACAGGTGGATAAAATGAGTGAGCAGTAACTAATGCTGTTATAACATTCATTTCTTCAAGTATCACATGTTATCCTAGATAACATTAGGATCAGTACAACCTTCATTTCTTTTAGATGGCATATCCAACATTACTTCTTTCTATGGCCATAACCAACTCTGATCTTTCTAGCCATGTAAGGCAATAGGTTCAGCCTATTCTTTTCTATACTGACAGCTGTTATTATTACTTTATTTTCTCCCCCTCCCATTCTCCTCCCACCCTTCCTCTAAATATTAAGTAACTACTATTGCCAAAACAGAATCAGTGACCTTGGGGAACGTGTATTCTGGTGGGAGGTTGGATCAAAAAACCACTACAACGTAATGGGATGTAGTGAACTTGGGGATGATGCAGATAGGAAGATAGAGCTTTAAGGAGGTGTGGAAAATAAACAAGAGTGACTCATACATAACTAATTTTTTTCCAACTGCTAGGGATGAACATACACAAGTCAATCTTTCATCAAAGAATTGAAGTTTTTTGAATTAAGAGAAGTCTTAGCCATATTCCAAGTGAGGGCAGATGTCCTTTCTATAACACCTCAGAATTACCTCCTAAATAAAAATTTAAAGCAAATATCACCTTAATATCTGAATAAAAATATGTATGAGTGCCTCTGTGTGTGCGTGCATGTATCCTTATAAGAGGCTAAGAGAAAACTGAATGTGAGGCATGAAAGCAAAGTTCAGTTATAGCATTAAAATTATATAACATCGTATAGAGATGTAAAACTTACGCAAGTTGGGCAATAGCCTTATCCAAACATAGCTTCATTCTTTCTTGACAACACAGAATAACATCACCTTCCTATTTAATTGAAAAGCAAAATACACATTAATATTTTCATTATGGAGAATAACATCCAAAGTCAGCAATGAAGCAAACTTTATTTCTTGAAAACTAGTAAACTTAGGCAAGAAAACACTATTAAATTCACTTATTACCCATGTGTCCCATTCATCTGTTACAGGACTACAGGGAAATCACATTATAGAACAGGTTGGGACATGGTTAAAATTTTAGGATTTTGCTTTCTTTTTATTTTTATCCTTAATTAAAGTACCAAAAAAAGATTAAAATTATGTTGATGTATAAGTTTGGACTCAAATACATGCCTTCTTCTGTAACATCTATTCTTCCAAAGCACAGTAAATCAAAGAGGGAAAGGGGGCAGCCAAAAGGAGCATCTCTCTGGCAGCTCATATAGTCCCAGTAGGACCAGCTCTTTGGTCCAAACATGGTTCTACCTGTGCCCTATAGCCCAGCCCCTACGCTAGTAGGACCTGCATCAGGTTCCTTCCAGGATGATCACACCTGTGGCATCTAGATGTGTGAGGATGTAAGCACTATTCCATAGCATGTGCTACTTCAGGAACTTTAGACATTCATGTCCCTCTGAAATTAATATTCACATTAGAAAATTATGAACTCAAAAATAGCACCAAGAAGATGTTCTTTAAAAGTGTACATAGTCATTCTTAGTGCTTTCTCGTGCAAAAAGTGATCATCCCATATATACAGCTTTGTGGCATTTTAAACCTGAACATTTTTCCATGACGTTAAACAATAATATGAACAGCCTAATGAATACATGAACACCACCAACAGGTACATCTTTTCCCAAGGTTTTGACAAATACACCAAATTGCCCTTCAGAAAAGTTCTATGACATGAGTACAGTATGTCTTTTCTTCTTTTGTAGCCAAGAAGCCACTATCACTCCTCTAAATTGTTGCCGACATAATGGGAATCCTCCTTATCAGAAAACTAGCCAACTTGCCTGAATTTGCAGTGTATAGAATACCATACAATAATATACAAATGTAATTTGTTCATCACTGGAACTTCTTTTGTGAACTGCCTGTTCACCAGTTGTCCATTTTTCCCGTTGTTTTATTATTAATTACAAAAGTTCTTAATATTTAAAATTAAATCTTTTCCCATAATATATGTTATTATCTTTTTATGAGTTTGGCCCTTGCCCATATATTGTGCATGGTGTTTTTGATGCAGACATTCATCATTTCTATGAAATCAAGTATCCCTTTTTTGTTTCTGCCTTTGCTTCGCTCTAGAATTATTAATCACCTACATAGTAGTGTTCTTCTTTTCTTGTTTAACAGAAAATATGACAACCTCACTGATTCTTAGATACTCTGAATTAATGGAGTAAGGGAAGAATTAAGACCCCTCTTGCATGTTCTACCAAAACGCCCCCTGATCTTACAAAGACTTTCTGCTTAGTCTCGCTGTGGGTTGTGCATCAGTCTTAGGGTTTGTTTGTTTGTTTGTGGGGGTTTTTTGTATTGTTCAATTCTCAACTGCCTCAATGACAGAATTCACGTGTGTGTGTGTGTGTGTGTGTGAGTTCATGCACACATGTGTGTTGGTGAGAATGCACAGTCTTGCTTAGAAAACACTACTCAAAACCCCAAATCCTCCTGTTTTGTTTTATGTCCAGAGTGTTTTAATATACAATGCACGTAGTGGAAATTTCTGGGACTTTTAATGGGAAAAAGGCATTTAATGAGTTTTTTATAAAAAAAATCTTTCAACAATAATTTTATGCATGAATTTAAATAATACCATATGGGGAATGTCAGATGGTGGAAGGTAGAGGGAATGGGAAGCCTAAAACCATGTGCTTTAGTTTGGAGCTCTTCCCTATGTTGACTTGTTACTCTGTGGAAATAGCTTTGAAATACCAAGTGGAAGTAGAAGCAGTGCAAAGCATCCCCTCACCTGTTCCTAAGAAAGTTTATAGAAGATGGTGGATATACACAGAAACCAGAAGTGTAGGAGGAGCCTGCATCCAATTAGACCTGTGGTTGTAGCTCACGCTTATGGAAGCTAAGATTCTGGCAGAGTGCCACTTTTAGGAACCACTGGAAAGTGGGTGCAATACTTCTGGATCCTGACCTTATGAGGAATAACAGACTCCATGAATTGCATGGTCATGGTAACTTCTCTGGGGTTCTTCGACTCCCAGTATTCTAAGTAATAAAAATGTGATCTCATTTGCAGGCCTTCCAATGAAAATGTAACAAGGAATCACATCAAGGTGTTTGAAGAACTTGGATTAATCCTCCTGTTTGAGCAGGTAAAACCTTCATAAAGTATCTCTTGTTACAATGTATCTCTTGGAAACTGTATTCTTAAGACACTGGGGTAGGGGAGCAAAATAGAGACTGAACAGGCTTTTGCTTTCCTTCACACCTCAAGCAAAAACCCCTTGGGACCTCACACTCCCTGGTCTTTTGTGGAATAGTGATTAAATACATATGCTTCAGCATCTTACACCACTGCTCAAATGCTGGCTTTGCCATCTGTTAAACTGTGACCAAAGACAGGTTATAAACTAAAGGCAAAACCCAACTTTCCGTGGCAGTTGGGTAGATAAGTATGTGCCTAGGTGATGGTAAGTGTTCAGTAAGTGTTACGTTGTATGTTGCAACAGTGGGACAGGCAAGTACAATTAAACTTTTAAAATCAAACTGCATGTCAAACTTAGTCTAGTTCATGGAAATCTCACCTATAGAAGCAGGTACTCTGTTTCTGTATATAAGGTTATTTAATGATGAAATGATCATCAAAGATTCACATCACTGTCAGGTTAGTAAGAACCGGCATTTCCTTTCATTACTGAATTACATTCTCATTTGCTCCTGAGTTTGTCGAAGATGACCAACTAGCCTTTCTTTGCAACATAACTTATTGTGAAAAGTCTTTGGTCCACAACCCATTTAGAGAGAGAAACCTATGCAAGGAGGAAAGTTCTTATTACTGGTGGTCAGAGCCCACCCAAACATTCTTCCCATGCTGGGGTCAGGGATCTATCTATTCAATCCTGTCTCAGAGCAGAGCCCTCCTGGGCTGGATTACGCTGAAATGTCTCTCCATCTCTGGAACTGATTGCTTGCACATTCTCTATAAACTTCTGTGGCTGTGGTATTTTTGTTTTCTCCTGCAACACAAAGGAGGGAAAAGCCACTTGCGGTAAGGAAACTGGCCATCTGGGGCCAGGCCCAGAGCCTCAGCCTGAGCTCAGAGCTCTGAGCAGCAGGCCTCGCCTCCAAAGCCAGGGAGGGCTTTGGGTGAGATGACTCTACAGTTCCATTTGGCTTCAGAAGTCAGAGTGCTATGAAATTGGGAAGATGGGGCCATCACTAACTCCTCAGGAGAAGCTTTTCCATAGGTTGAATACAGATTGGGCATTCCTTTTCTGAAATGCTTTGGACTTGATTTTAGACATTTTTTAGAATTTGGAATATTTGCAAATATATAATTAAGTATCTTAGGGATGGGACTTCAGTCTAAACACAAAATTCATTTATGTTTCAGATACACCTTATATACACAGGCTGTTGGTAATTTTATACATCTTTGTGTCATATGACTGTATTTTGATTGCAACCAGTCCCATAAGGTCAAGATATGGAATTTTCCACATTGGTCCTCAAAACGTTGAAGTGTTACAGATTTTGGATTTTTGGGCTGGGGTACTGAGCTTGTATCACTGGTTGAATGTAAGAGTCAACAGAATTTATTAGAAAATGTTTCATCATGCTATTTTTCAAAAATAAGCCTTTTAAGGCTACCCTCCCCCCAATACTGGTTTAGTTATTTTAAAAATTGAAATTCATTTTGGTAAGGTAATAAGTTATATGCTAATACTATTATATTAAATAAGTGAACATTTATTACTTGAATTGGCCTTGACCAAGGCATCCCCATCAATTCATTAGCATTCATTTCAGACTCAATTTTTTATGATAAAGCAAACTACTCTACTAACTTGGAAAATATAAACCTCCAAATCAACGTTTTTTTTGTTTTTAAGTAATAGCTTTATTGAGATATAATTCACATATCATATAATTCACCTATTGAAAGTATACAGTTCAATGTTTTAGCATATTCAAAATTATTACAATTATTGCTAGAACCAAATTTAGAGCATTTTCAATATTTTCTCCTAAAAAACCACTCTTTAGGTATCACCCCAAATTTCCAATTCCCCAAGCTTCCTTCTCTGAGGTAACCACTAATCTACTTTCAGTCTGTATAATTCCCTATTGTGGGAATTTTCTGTAAATGAAATCACACAATATGTAGTTCTTCGTGATGAATCTCTCTCAATTAACAGAGTGTTTTCAAGGTTCATCCATGTGTCACTACTTCATTCCTTCTTATGGGTGAATAAATTCTATTGTATATGTATATATTATATTTTATGTCCACTTGATCCAATTGATGAGTTGATAAACATTTAGGTTTTTAAAATTATTTGAATATCACAAAACTGTTGCTATAAATACTCATGAACAAGTCTTTGGGCATATGTTTTCATTTTTCCTTGTGTAGATACTTAGAAGTAGAATTACTGAATCATATAGTGACCCTATATTTAACAATACTCCAAAGCAGCTGCACCTTTTTACATTCCCACCAACAGTGTGTGAAGGTTCTAATTCTTACACATTCTCATTTGTTATTTTATGTATTTATGTTACAGGTATCTTACTGGGTATGACATCAGATTTCATTATGATGTTGATTTACATTTCCCTGATGATTAATGATGTTGAGCATTTTTTCAAATGCTTATTGGCCTTTTGTATAACCTCCCTGAACTGTCTATTCCAACCTTTTGCCCATTTTTAAATTGGGTTATTTTCCTAAAAACAATAACAGTTATTTATAAATTCTCTATATAAGTCCCTTATTAGATATATGATCTGTAAAGATCTTATTTTCACTTTACAGTGGATCCTTGACTTACAAACTCAATTCATTCGCAAGGGCTGGTTGTAACTCAGGTTGGTCAATTGAAGGCTCAAGCTCCTCTACACAGCCTTCAAAGTCTCTCTCCTGTGTACAGGCAGATCTCAGTGTCCTGAGAAAGACCTTGGCTCTGTATTTCTCAATTACCCCACACAGGAAAGAATGTTGTAATATTCCTTTCAGAACACTTTGAGGGTTAAATCTATATCTGAGACCATCTGGAAGCACAAGCAGCCAGCATTCGGGTTATAACTCAAGACTTTGTTCATAAGTTAAAACTAAAATTCCAGGCATAACCCAAGTTATTCATATGTCAGACCAGTGGTAAATCAAGGGTCCACTGTATTGATAATGTTCTTTGAAGTACCAAACTTTCAATTTTGATGATGTGCAGTTTAATCTATATTTTATTTTGTTGCTTGTGCCTTTACAGTCATATCTATCACCTACTCCAATGTCACAAATATTCATTCATATGTTTTTCTTTTTTAAAAATTTTCCATTTTAGCCCTTTTACTTAAGTATTTTGACCATTTTAACTTAATTTTATATGTAGTGAGGGGGGAATCCAACTTCATTCTTTTACACATGGATATCCAGTTGTCCAAGCACCATTTGTTAAAGAGTCCATTCTTTTCTCGTTGAATTATCTCAACACACTTGTCAAAGATCAATTGATGGTAACTATGAGGGTTTGTTTCTTGACACTAAATTCTATTACATTGACCTGTCTATATATATGCAAGTATGATACTGTCCTATATATTGTAGCTTTTCAGTAAGCTTTGATACTGAGTAGTGTGAGTCTTCCAGCTCTTTTTTTTCCCCCAATATTATTTTGGCTATTTTGTATCCCTTGGATTGCCACATGAATTTTAGGATCCATTTATCAATTTCCATTAGGAAGTCAGCTGGAATTTTGACAGAAATTCTGTTAAATGGCACTGATCTATGGATCACTTTGGGAAGTATGTCTTCTAATCCATAAAAATGATATATCTATTTCTTTAGCTTCATTTTTAATTTCCTTCCACAATATTTTGTATTTTTGGAGAAAATATTTCTGAATTTGTTTGTTTATTAAGATTACCAAAGAAATATTTTTAAAATGTCAATACCCAGTCCCCATTCCTGATTTGAATCAGAATCCCAGTCACTGATATTTTCAAATCTTCACCAGGTGATTGTAATGTGCAGGCACATTTGAGGGCCACTCTAGAATAACAGAAACACTAAAGGTATCCAAGTTTCAAAGCAGGTGTTAGAAATATTATAGTGTATTTATGGGCAAACTTAAGCTACTAGAACTGGCCTATAATTTACTTCCTATGGAACATCTCAGGATCAGTGACAACAAAAAAGCTAACGAACTAATGTGGTAAATTCCTTGCCATTTAGATGACAAAGTAGACAAAAGATTATTTTAAGAATTACAAAATTCATCAGAAACTGAGAAAAGAGAAACAGCAGAGCAGGGACCCATCACTGATTGCAAGGCTATTTTATTCAGGATTTCCTATTGTAATCACGTCTACAATAATAGGGACCATAATTTTTACAGAGTACATTGCATAGTCTCTGTGTAGTGGCCAAAGATTTCCTGAGTGTATTAGTTTAATTCAGATTTCTCCAGAGAACCATGTAGTAGAGGAAAGGAAATGACAAAGAAAAAACTTCCATTTATCATTCTTAAGGCAATGGAGCACTGAAAAAGGACAATGTAAAAGGAAAGCACTGATGACATGTGAGGATAAAATTTCTGTGATGAGCAGGTTGCTAGCGCATCATACTTACTTTCTTGCCAAGAAATTATTTCATACCAAGAAACAATTAAACAAAGGCAAAGGCAAAGAGGTGAGACCATGCAAAGCTGGTTCAGGGAGAGAGAAGAGAGATTCATTACCACAGAAATTTTGTGATTGAGAGACAGGAGGAAGGCTAAGAAGTCAGATAGGAGCCAAACAATGGAAAGCCTGGTAATTTTTTCCTGTAGGAAGTAAGGAGTCAAGGAATAATTTTTAGCACAAGGAAGAAGCTAGTGATAATGTGTATTATTAATCCAAGTGAAACTTAAGAAAAGGAAAATGTTGGGGTATTTCTAGCTGAATAGAAGAGCTGGAAACTGATTAAAGTTTCAAGGACACAATGGTTGCAACCCAAGCCATGGTGATGAGAGGATACAGGTACCTTAGGTAGAAAGGAGCGGACAACAGGGTGAGACAGATTGGGAAGGGTACAGGAAGCTAAGGGGCAGGGGGATAAAAGGAAGCTAGGTTTGATCAATGTATGCTGCATGCATGTGTGGAAAAATCATATTGAACCCTATTAATATGTACAATTAACATACTTTATTAAGAATCTTTAAAATGTTCGGCAAGGTAATTAGGGATGAAGCACTAATGCTTAATAAAAAGCCTTGGTCACAGAAAGAGACTGGGAAGGGCCTCAAGCACATGACAGCTGAAACCTTAAGGAATAGCAGAGCTCTTAGGGTGGTCAGTTCAGAAAGTGAAGATCAGAGCACTTAGAACTAATCAGCTTTAATAGGTGAAAGAATCAGCAGAGTAGTGCAGATTACAACTGTTAGCTTCTGGGTGGGAATTTGAGGATGTATCAAAAACTTTCCAAATGCATACACCCTTTGACACCTCAGCTGTGTTTCCTGATACGGATTTTCAGGAAGTTATCAAAAGTACATACAATTATTCATAGTAATATTTTTATGCTACAGTGTTGCTAAAATAGAGAAAAAAGTGTTACGGAAACAACCTAACTATGCAATGAGAAGATTGATTTTTAAAAAATAGCACCTTTACCTTGTGGAACACTATGTAACCACTAAAAATCATGTCAAAAGAGTATCTAATGATAGGAAAAATTATCCTTACATAATTTTAAATGAATAAAATATGTCCAAATTCACAAATACAGTATGAGTCTAAACTTGAAGATATGACTATGTGTTGTTGTGTAAGCTGCTTCTTGTCTCTGAGCTTATTTATTTGTTTGTGTGTTTGTTTGTTTGTTTTGGGTACCAGGGATCAAACTCAGGACCTCTCACTTTCTTTTTTCTTTTCTTTTTTTTTAGTAGACCTATATCATCAAACAAAGGCAGTTGGTGGCAACGCTATTATGTGGATATACTTAGAAACCCTTTAAGGACTCTGAAGCATCAAGTTCACATTTAATGTTACTTACAGGAACAGCCCATTATTTGAACACTTTTCCACACAGGACCTCACGCTTTCCAAGCAGGTGCTGTGACACTGACCTAAATCCCCAACCCAAGCATATTTAATAAAATGACTGAAATATTCCAAAATTGACACTGATTTCTGCCCAATGGAACTGCAAGTGATTTTTATATTTCTTCATTCTTTTTTATATACTTCAAATTTCCAGTGAACGTTTATTTCTTTTGAAGCCAAAATAATGTATCATTGCAAAGTGCTATAAACATGATATGCTAATTCTACTTATAAGAGGCTTTGTATACATTTTACACTTTAAAAACATGTTTACAATGAAGATTTTTGTTTTTAAAGCATTTCTTCCATATTTACCATGAGCAGTTCTGTTTCAACTTCATCATGAACTAAGTCAATTCCCATTCTCTTCTCTCGATGAAATAAACATTCTCGGGCAACCTACAGACCCATAAATAATAAAGTGCATTAATACAAACTGACTGATAACTTTTTCAGAAATAAGTCACTAAATACTCCCAATACCAACTTTTCAAATCATTTTGTGGAAATTTAGTATGAAAAAGACCATGACAACTAAATGTATCTTTGCTGCTAGCTAAAAAGTAAAGTTGATGCTTCAGAATAGCTTGGAAAAATAAAACAAATAGCATCTCTGTAAATTAACATCTGAGAAAATTACTTGGCATAGTTTATTCAAGACCAATGGTTCGATAACAAATTATTACTTCCAAGTATTTTCTACTGAGAATAAGGAAGAAATGAATGGTTATCTTTTAGGACATCAGAATATTTGTGTAGCCAAAATTCCAAGTGATTCTTTTTAAAGTGACATTTATTATTTTTCCAATTATAAAAAGGATATTCTTTTATCTATTAAGGAGAAAAATAGAGAAAATATGATTTAGCCATACTCTTACCGTAGTTTTGTTTTCTTACTTTAACAAAATGGAAGGTATAATGTCCTTACACCTTTATATTATGCTTTTCAAGATGACATTAAATAGTAGATCTGAGTCATGAAATATTCTGAGATAGAGAATGTTAATGACTCCAATGGAAAACAGCTTAGATTGCTAACAATAAATTATGTATAGAAGAACATTATGTGGCTGTTAAATGTTTTTTCAAAAACTGTTTTATGACATAGGACTACTATATAATGTTACATTTTTTAAAAAGCATAAATGTAAGAGTATATAAATTATAATCCAGATATAGTATCATTGAATAATATTTTTGAATAGCTCTCTAAATTTTGATACTATAATTTACATTTATTAGAGGAGAAATTAATGGGTTAAAGGAAACTGATTACTTCATTACATATTACTAAATCACTTTGCAGAAAATTTCTGCTAATCCACCATCCCATCAGTAATATATGAAAGTGCCCATTTTCCAGTCTTTTGCCAATCCTAGATGTTATGGGTTTTTCATTATTGCAAATTTGAGAGGTCAAAGTCTACCTGATCCATTTTATTGGTATTGTTTTATTAAGTTTTAACATTTTTTTCTTGTATTAGTGATCATCTATATTTTCTCTTTTGAAACACATATGTTTATGTAACTTACTCTAAATTTAAAAAGGAGTTTCTGATCCATTGGGAGTAAATGTTCCAGCACAGAAGAACATGTGGACAAAAATTGCAGAAAAGAATTCAGATTGGAGCTATCTCACTGAAAGTAGTCATCAGTGAGAAGAATACTAAGAGAAGAAATTGAATCTCCTCCCTGAGGGGAAAGGGCTATTGTTCCAAGGACACTAAATCCTCAAAGGTAGTGTGGGATGCACTGGGCTGTAAAATAAACCAATAATCCTCAAAATGAGTGGGGGTTAAAGGCAAGTATAGGAGGCCTTCTAATTCTGAACAATTCCTGAAGAATTACTTTAAAAAATATAGCATCAGTGTACTGTTAACCTTTCTTGGGATCCTGGGGATTGTATATATTTGTGTGTATGGTTAGTGCGGAGAAGGTATGACAAGAAGTGACACTGTGCAGGGATGCCTAGTCAGTTCAAGCCTCTAGCCTTCCAGTTCCTTGGTTCTCTAAACTCTTCTGGTAGATAGCACAGTACTACTGCCAACACTTGTCATACAGGAAACAACTCAGGCAAACATGAAGACAAAAGGTGTTAGCTATGTTCATCAAAATATATACACCTTCTAAAATAATTTATATGATTTGCACATCTTCAAATATGGAATGTCTCTTTTCAATGGTGGATGGCAGAATAGGGTTAGAGGGCCCATCAGGTGGTTCCAGAGTCAGAGGTGATTTGACACTACTCAGAAGCCTGGTCAGAGGTTGGCAACTAACAAATGCTGCTTCCACTGCCATAGCAACTGGCACTACCTCAGTGCAATTTGTCTATTTAAAAAAACTCATTCTTAAATGCTCTTATTTGATACTTTGTGCCCTGAAACAGAATCATAACATATACTCATTTTATGACACAAAATAAAGGAATAACGTGTCTTTCTTAAAGTTTTTTATATTAATCTATAGCCAGCAAAAACCAAGCAGACTTTCTGAGAGATAAGAAGCAGATACAGGCCTGTAATCCTACCAATCCTAGAGGCTAAGGTGGAAGGATAGAAAGTTCAAGCCCAGCCCAGTAATTTAATGGCTTAGCAAAATCATGTCTAAAAAATAAAATAAAAAATTTTTAAAGGTTGGAGATATAGCTCAGCTTGAACCCATTGTGTTCATTTCCCAGTACTTCTAACATTTTTTAAAATAAATAAATAAAAATACATTGAAAAAATATAAAACGTTGGGATGTATGTGAAAGGCCCTTAGTTCAATCTCTCAGAGAAAGAGAGAGAGAGAGAGAAAGAGAGAGAGAGGAGAGACAAAGATAGACAGAGATTTTCACCTTAAAATTATGTGTCTTAATGGTGTCTCTTTAGTCTTCTTCACAATCAGAATTCTTAAAGTGGTTGTTTTGTGTAAATGTAAAAATGGCAATGGTTTTTCCATTACTCAAACCAGTACAGATGGGGGGGTGCTTCTACAGGTTAAATAAAACACAATTTTATATATAAATAACTTCAGAAATTCAACCGCTGGGCTATAGTAATCCAAATGTAGTTCCTTTTATCATCAGCTCCCAAATTTACCTGCAGAGGGGCTTCAGTTTCCATTAAAGCCCTGTCTAATCTTTTCTTAATATCAGTAAGTGCATTTGTCTCTCCAATCATTTCATCCAACTCATGAGTGATTTCAGATTTCCAAAACCCTATGTCATTGACACGTTCTCCCAAATTTTGGGTAGAGTCTGCCTGGGTTTTTCTTGTTTGCTGATGTTTGTCCTGAATGAGGCGAGATGTATTCACTCTGAGTCTCTCTGAATTATGTCGGGAAGTATTGGACTCTTGGTAGTTGGTTAAATTGGACCTGTACCAATCGTCAGGAGTGTATCTTGTGAAGAGGGTGGTTCTGTTGGAAACAAAGGGAAGCATGGTGCTCTCTCGCACCCTCTGAGATCTAGTGCAGTATGGGCCCAAGGTTGGCGAGTTGGAGGCTGCTTTGTAGTATGTGCTTGGTCTCCAAGGAAGACTCAAGCTATGGGTCAAATTGTAGTGGGGAAAGTGATCCCTGTAGCTTGATGCCATGGTACCAATGGCCGGTAGAAAGTTGGTTGGTGTTGGTGCCGGCTGGGCGTAAGTTGATGTTAAAGTAGAGCCTAAAGTCTCCATGGTGCTCAAACATGATTTGTACATCTCTCCTGCTAAAAAAAAAAAAAAAAAAAAAGGAAAAATAGACAGTCACATACATTAATATCACAAATGATACAAATAAAGAACACATATGTATTAGTATTAGTTGTCTGCTCTTTAACTAGTTAGATATTTGTTCTAACTTGTTATCCATACTTCCTGGTGATAATCTATTCCAAAAATTTTTTTCATCTCTGTGTCTCTAGAATGTTTTAAGGTCATATATTTTTTAAATCAGCCATCTTAATTTTTGGATTTTTAAAATTGAGATTAATAATGTCTTATGGTAACAAATTCAGATCAAGAGCCTGAACTATGTAGTTTAACAAAGAAAGATTCAAATCTAAGTCCTTCTGTTTACTACCTATGTGACATAGGGCAAATTACTTAACTGTGCACCAGTTGCTTCATCTAGAAATAATAGGAAATAACAGTATTTCCTTCTTGAATTGCTATAAGCAGCACTAATAACAAAGGGTCACTTAGCAGCACTCCACTAACCATAAAGTGTTATCTCAAATAAACACATAATCTGGGTAACAATGGCATGGCTTGTGTGCAAACATGGATTAGGGTAAGTACTTGGTCTCCTCTCCTGGCAACCTGCCACCTCTAATATAGAAATTATGGAGCATCCACAGGAATACAAGGATTAGGACAATGTGAAGTATTTAAAATGTGTAGCACAGCATTTGGTATATAGCAAATACTTAACAAATGTTAATTTTTAAATTGCTAATTCAGAGGAGTATATACAATAAAAGATAAATATCTCTTCTCCCTTAAAGGTGAATTCCTTAAAAGTTGCCACTGTGAATATTCATAGTTTAATAATAGTTGAACTTTTAAGGCTTTTTCCTATTCATATATGGACATATATTATTAAATATGTACCACAGATGTCTACCTATATGCCATTTTAATATAAAAATTGAACCCTAATCATTGTACATATGTAGACATACATTCTAGAACATAGCTTTTTAAAAGCTAAATACGTATTTTTTAATCCATCCTTCTTACCAGTTCCACTGTCTGGAAATTTTGCTGAAAATTCCTGAAAGCAAAGCTTCCACAGACAGTGACATACTTTTCATAATCTAAATATTATTCTATTTAGAGATTAATGTCTATGAACCTATTTACTGAAAAGAAAAAAGAAAGTCAGAACTAATTCTATGCTCTGCTAAGAATATAAAAAAATACTTCAATGATTACTTAAAGAGTTGTTTCTTGAATGCTTTGGTACCCAAACTACAAAATAATCTGTTTGTAAGATCTGTACCCAAGTAAAAATCTACTCAGACCACATGGGAGTGACCCACATGGCTCTAGAACCTTCATTTCTTTCTGTATCCTTCCAACCTATAGACTCCAAGTACTTTATGCTACTGGCCAACCTTAGAGGATGATGGTGAAAAAAGAAAACCTTAGAAAGCACTTAGAGTTCTTTACTTCAGTTTGAAACTTTAAATATGGCTTTTTTCAAAGGCAAATTCCAATCCTTAAGTTTTCCTTATTTCTAAGCCCATCTTCAGGTCAAACCTAGAAACGAAATCGTTTTCTTCTAGCAAGAAGTGTCAAGTGGGTATGGACCACTCCTATTTCACTATGGTTGATTTTTTACAATAAGAGATCCCAAAACCAATGGCTCACTTAGTCCTTTGACCACAGGATTCCAAGCCTATTAGGTTCGCATCTTGAGACCTTCCAACCATTGAACCATGAGTCTTCTACTCCAAGGCTGATATATAAAGATTCAATGCATAAACCAGATGAAGCATTTGGACTGAGAAAAATCCATGGAGGTTATAAAAGCATTTAGAGATTTGATTTCAGTTAGGGATGAGATATAGCTCAAAAATCTGAAGCATAGAATCAGTTGTTTATAATTCAAAAAGTAGAGTTTTCACACATGGAAGTAAGTTTCACAGGCAGGGACACCATTTTACAGCCATAACTGCAGCTCCAACTCCAGCCAACATCTTTAAAAGTTATTCAGGAAGCCTGTATAAAAGACATCACATCATGATGTTTCACCAAACTATTTCACTATCATATATTTTTTCATTATTGGTCAAGAAAACCAAAGCCTAAAAAACATTTAAGAACTGAAAATATATTCCTAACCATGAGAGACTAATAAAGACTTAGCCTCTTATATTTAAAAATCTAAAGCAAATATATGAAACAACTGCTCTCATACATTGGACAACACTGCAATTGGCAGCACTGGAATGGGTTCACTGAGAGGAGAAATAAATATGATGAGCCCTCTTACTGTCCTGGCACCGTGCCTCAAGGCAATTTCCAGCTCACAGGGGAAAAGCAGATAAAAACAGAAAAGAGCCATGCAGCCTTTGTAAGTTGAGAAACTTAGCAGAATTTGGGAGGCTGTCACAGCTAGAAGTTGTGAAGCAGAATTCCACAATAAAATGAGCAACACATTGCAAAGTTTCTGAAGTCTACATAGGAAGCCACTTGAGTCTTTGCTGAGTAACAGAATACACACACAGTGCCAGACTCTTCACAAACTTTGGCAATGAGTGCTGCTAGATTTGTTAAGGGAATGACTTCTAGAATTCATAGAGGTCGAAGAGTCAGACTAACCAGATTGAGTCAATGGTGATGATTTGGAGCATTCTGTGGAGACCGCAGAGGAGGCACACATTTAAGGTCGGGCTGAACTATCCTTGGAATAAAGATTCTGAAGACTTACTCTAGAAAAACCTGAAAACAGGTCTCAAAGAGATTAAGCTAACTATCAAGATACTCCAGTCAAAAGATACCAAACACATCGAGAGGAAGGAAAATATAAACCATAATTAGGTAAAATCAGTCAATGGAAACAGGCCTAGAAATAGCAGAGATGATAGTACTAGAAAATTATGTTCAAGTATTTGATTCAAGAACACCAAGAAGGGAGATGTGGAAGAGTAAAAGAAGAATCGAATGAAACTTTAGAGATAAAACATATAATATATACTTTTAAAATATACGCTTGGGCCAGGGATTTAGCTCAGTGGTTCTGCCACCTGCCTTGCAAGTACAAGTCCTGAGTTTGATCCCCAGTACCAAAAAAATAAAATAAAATAAAATATATACTTGTAGAATTTTACTAGATGGGATAAACAGCAGATTAGATATTGGAGAAATAAAGATTAATAAATTCAAGTCTAACCAAATTAAAGCATATAAATTCTTTTAACTGAAAAAAAGTAAAAAATCACCTCAGTGACCTATGTGGTACAAAAGCAAGTGGTTTAACATCATGTCTTTGGAGTGTCATTAAGGAGAGAAGAGACAAAATATTTTTGAAGAAATAGTAACTGAATATTTTCAAAATGTGATGAAAATTATAATATCTAGGTTTAAAAATCTCCATGAACTCCAAGGGGATAAACAGACACACACACACACACACACACACACACATACACGTGTGCACACACACATGGCCCACTGCCACCCTCCCCACCTCATCAAAATCAAACAGGTAAAATTCTAGGCAACAGAGACATGGCTGGGGGCATCACAATCCCCAACTTGAAACTGTACTACAAAGCTACCGTGATAAAAACAGCATGGTACTGGCAAAGAAACAGACCCGAAGATCAGTGGAATAAATTAGAAGATGCAGAAACAAATCCAGACATACTCAGTCACCTCATCTTTGACAAAGGAGCCAACCACCCTCATTGGAGGAAAGATAACCTATTTAATAAATGGTGTTGGAAAAACTGGATTTCAACCTGTCAAAAATTAAAACTAGACCCATACCTATCACCATGCACTAAACTAAGATCGAAGTGGATTAAAGATCTAAATATTAAGTCAGAAACACTAAACTTGCTGGAAGATAAGTTAGGTAGAACCTTTGATGATATTGGCATAGGAAAAGACTTTATGAACAAATCTTCAGTACCATGGGACCTAGCACAAAGAATCAACAACTGGGATCTCATTGTATTAAAAAGCTTCTGCACTGCAAGAGAAATTACCAACAGAGCTAAGAGACAACCTACAATGTGGGAAGAAATATTTAGCAGCTGTACCTCAGACAAAGGTCTACTATCAAGAATATATAAAGAACTGAAAAAAATCAGACCTCCCAAATTCAAAGACCCAATTCAAAAATGGGCATCCAAAATGAATAGACATTTCTCAGACAAAGAAGTAAAAACAGCAAGTAAATATATGAAAAAATGTTCAACATCACTGGTCATTCGAGAGATGCAGATGAAAACAACACTGAGATTCCACCTCACCCCACAAAGAATGGCTGCTATCAAGAACTCAACCAATAACAAATGCTGGCGAGGGTGTGGAGAGAAAGGAACCCTTCTCCACTGTTGGTGGGAATGTAGATTGGTGCAACCACTGTAGAAATCAGTATGGCAATACCTCAAAGAACTAGGACTGGAAGTCCCATTTGACCCAGCTATTCCCCTGCTGGGAATCTTCCCCAAAGAATTAAAAGAATCATATCACAGCGATATATGTGCACCTATGTTTATAGAGGCACAGTTTGTAATAGCTAAAGCTTGGAAACAGCCCAAGTGCCCATCGACTGGAAACTGAATAAAGAAGATGTGGTTTTTTTATTAAATGGAGTACTACTCAGCCATAAAGAACGAGAAACTAGAGACATTTATAGCTAAATGGATGCATATTGAGGCCATACTCTTAAGTGAAATAAATAGGACACACGTGTAAATACCAAATAGTTTCTCTAATGTGAGAAACTGAAAGTGTAAATAAGGATTAAAATGATTAAAATGAATAATTGATAATTTGAAATAAGAAAAGGTCCAAGGGTTTGGGGATGGTGGAAGGGAAAGGGGAAAGAAAAGAAGGGAAAGAAAAAAATTATGAGAAAAAAAATGGAATCAAACTCTGTGTAGATAGGGAAGGGTGGAGGGGGTGAAGGGTGCACAGGTAATGGGGGAAAAAATAAAAACTAAGATCCATCATGTTCCAGTACAAACACCCAATGATAAATGTAAATGTATTTTTATACCTAAAATGTACCAATAAATATATATATTTAAATTAAAAAATCAAACAGGTAAAAACCAGTGATAGAAAGAAAACCTTAAAATTAGTGCAAGAAGACCCTTTAACTAGAAAGAACAAAGATAAACATTGTGTAGAATTACTGTCAGAAGTTATCCAAGCCAGAACAAAACTTCTGGCAGCTCTGGGGATCAAGCCCAGGGTTTCACACATACTAGACAAGCACTGAGCTGCATGTCCAGCCCTAACATCATTAAAGGGCTAGAAGAAAGTGTGTGCCTGTAAAGCAATATTTAGTGAAAATATCCTTCAAAAAGGCAAAGTGAAATATTTTTAAACATAAGTCAAAAGAATTCATCATCAGAAGACCTGCAATAAAAGAATTGTTAAAGGAAATTCTTCAGGCAATTATACCAGATGGAAACTTGGATCTACCCAAAGAAATGAAGAATGTCAGAAATTGTAAGCACGTGTACTAATATTTTTTTAAAATTTCTTCCAACTTTCAAATCCCTCTAAAAGATAATTGCTGAAAGTAAAAAACAAAAATTTATTGTGGGATTTATAAAATGGGAGTAAATTTTGTGTTAACAATAGCACAAATGATGGGAGGCTTAGATAGAAATTTATAATTATAAGGGTATTCTTATAACTGAAATTATATAATGTTATTTAAACATATCTTGTGATAAGTTAAAATATGTGTTTTAAATTTTAGAGTAGCACTTCTCAAACTATAATCTAAGGACCCATGGGCTGCCTAAGACCTTCCCAGGGGTGAAACCATCAAAATTACTTTCATATTCACATGGCATTTGCCTTTTTTGCCCCCATTTTCTCACACTTACAGTGGAGATTTCCTGAGGTGACATCATATGTATTATCACAACAGACTAAATGAATATATGGAAACTCATCTACTAACCAAGAAATTAAAGAACTTTGCCAAAAATGTAAAATACTAACATTCTTTTCAGTAAATTTTTTATTTTGGAAAGTAAAAATGTTATTTATGATAGTACACAATATATTGTTATTTTTAGAAGAATTCCTATTTTTAACTTCTAAATTTTAATTTCTAATGTAATAAAGATTGATAGTATAACAACATACATGAAAAGTCTTTGAGGCCTTCAATATTTTGTAAAAGGGTCCTGGCCCAAACACCAAAAAGTTCTTTGACTGCTGGCCAGAAGAAATCTCTAAGGGGGAAAAAAATAATTCTATCTAATAAGCCAAGCAAAATGAGAGATTGATGAAAACAATCCATAGAAAGACATAAATTTTTCAGAATGATTTTTAAATGACATCAAATCCTATGCTGTCTAAAAAAATCCTATTTTAAATATAAAACAGGTGTTTAAAGTATGAAATATATATATTTAAATACTAATCAAAAAACATTGAAGTGGCCATATTAATGTCAAACCAAGTAGACCTCAGAACAAGAAATATTATTAGAGATAAAGCAGATAATATGATATCATGTTATCATGAAACAAATATCAGTAATCATAAAATACTGAAATCAAAGTATATCTGTTGTTTGACTATATCAGAATTAAGTTATCAATCAATAATAGGAAGATATTTGGAAAATCTCCAAATAGTAGAAAATTAAACAATGGTTTCAAATAACTCATGAATCAATGAAAAAAATCACATAGGAAATGACAAAATATCTTTATAAGTGAATGAGACCACAGCAGATCAAAATTTATGAAACGTAGCCAAAACAGTGATTACTAGGAAGGTTATAACTTTTAAGTGTTTATATTAGAAAATAAGAACAAGCTAAAATCAGTGACCTGTGTTTTCATCTGGGCAGGGCAGAGGGGAGCAAAACTAAAGTAGAAGGCAGAAATTTTAAAAAATAATAATAGAGAAAATGGA